TGAAACCCGAATCCCACAAACCATATCCGGAAATGACCCGGATAATGACCCTACTTCGAAACACAAAAAGCCGGAAGCCCCAAACCCTAGACTTCAAAAGGCAAGCCGTATGCGAGAGTGAGAGCCACGAAACTTCGAAGCCTGAAAGCGCACAGGAATTATGTAGTCGGGACAGTCTGCTTAGTTGGCATGCCGCCCTCCTCCGCAGTTCTTCTCCCCGCACTACCGGAAACGAAAGAGTGTTGGGACCCTCCATGAACACACTCCTTCATGATACCCTCATGTGCCCTCATGCTTTTCTGGTGAATCCACGACCCTTAAGGCCGGGAGCTCGCAGGCCTGAAGCTTCAAGGCAGAAGCCTTTAAACCTGAAGTTTTCCTGCTTTCCTGGTGCCTGACTCCTAGGCCTCAAAAAGGCCATGTGCGAGCGCAATGCATGCATCGCAAGATGACCGTTGCGTTCTTGCATGCCCCGAGCTTTCGGCCTGTGTGTTCTTCACGCATACTCCGTTTTGTTGCCTGCAAAATTTCGGGTGTCGCCGCAAGCTAGTCGCAAACATGCCAAGCAGACGAACCAGCGAACATCATTGCACGTGCGACTGCAGAAGGTCAAAACACAGCATGAGTAACCGTTATCGTGCATTCATTTTCTCAGTTGACCTCACGCATAGCATTGTGACGGTGCACCATGTCTCGACTTCCGGTCAAAAACCGCGCTTGCTCTTGTTGTTTGTGTTTGCCGGCTTTGAGTTGGTAGCTCCCGGCAGATCAGGGGCTTCCCAATGACCCAGAAACTAAAATCGTAAAACGCTACATTGTCACCGCAAGTAAGAAGGACACCGCTGTGCAAAGGGTGGTCCAAGGCCTCGAAGCTACCTCGAGCTCGGGAAGTGCTGAAGGAGCTGGACGTGTTCCTTGTTGAAAAGACTTGAAAAGTTTTGAAAAGCTTCTTCATGCTCGGATCCAAAGTGTGGCAGTGCCTTCATCACTTGAATGCTTACTCAGGAACGTTGACAACCTGATCGTGTTGACCGAACCACTCTTTGAACAAGATGCAGATGCTGGCCGAGAGCAAGAAGTGACGCGAGAAGAACTTCTGTTCCTCGGCACTTTGGCGTTGTAAGTGCCCCCACATCACATGATCCATCCGACCTCTGAGGAATGTGATTCTCGATATGCGGGGGGACCGCGACGTCAGAATGGAGGACATTGTCGAGTTGAGATGTGACATTCGACGCTTCGTCCACAGGCCAGGAAATAGTTAGTGGCGCTGTTGTTGAAAAACGCCGTGCTCTACTTGGTCTGCATCGTATGTTTCATGCACAAGTTTACAATTTAGTTTCGTTTTCTCGCTTACGCGGTTCGCAAGCTCACTGTAATAATAAGAAAGAACCGCGTGTACAGGCTAGTAATAATATAATAAAAGCCCGCGCGTCGTTTCATTCCTTGCGTCTTTATTATATTATTAGCCCGTTATATTATTAAGGGAATAAAGGGGTGAATGTAATGCTTTCTGGTAATGATGCACTAGAAATAAGGCTTTGAGGCAGTAACAACAATGGTCTTATTTCTGGGTCTTGGAGATGAAGCTAAAAGACTTGAATGGTGGATTGACTTGCGAGCACCAGGATGATACAAAAGTCTTGTTTGGTGGGGTCCCGAGGGTGGGTTCTTAGTGGTCCTGTTCTTAATGGTGGATTTACCGAGAGATTAAGGTGTTCCTGTCACGTAGAAAGACTCATGATGGTACCAAGATAGGAAGGGAGAACGTGAACCCCTGGACCAAGATATGAGAGTTAGGGTCTCAAGGTGTGATGGGTGCGTCTCAGAAGTTAGGTTCCTTGTCAAGAGAGTTCCTGTCACGTAGAAAGGCTTGTGTCCAGAGAACCCCAAAGAACCTGTCGAATGAGGTGGAAAATAAGGTCTCCATGATAGGTGGTTCAGGAAAGACCGCTCGAAAGGACCAAGATATGAGAGTTAGGGTCATTCTAGCGGTTAAGCCTTAATGGTACGGTTTCTAAGTCAAGATCCCTCGAAAGCCGTGATGATAGGGACAAGAGAGCAGTTACAACCTTAGGAATTAGTACCAAGATAGGAAGGGTCTCAAGGTGTGATGGGTGAACAAGGCTGTGGAACAAGAGTGAGAGAGATGAATGGTACGGTTTCTAAGTCAAGATGGTACGTCCCGAAGGCTTAGATTTCCAAGACCAAGAATTCGTAACTTAAAGTGAGCAAAAGGAAGAAAGAAGGTAATGAGTGTACGAAGCACGCTTCTTTCTCCCCTTTTGCGTACAGCAGCAAAGAGCCCAAAATGAAGTTCTTTTTACTGGGCTCTTAATATTAATAGCATACGAATTAAAGTGAAGAGAACATTAAAGTGGCTATATTACAAGCTGCATGGTGGCTCAACACTTCTTTTACCACATTATGAGCATAATGCAATGCATGGTAAGAGGCTGCCCCTCTCCGATTAGTAGCTGAATATGCTAACTAGATTAGAGGCCACTCCTTCTATCTTAACTCGTGAAAATACAGTCTCATTGAGGAAACAAATTCGTCCCTCAACTCGGGCTGCTCGGAACTTGGGGTTGACGCTACTAATTGAACTGGTCCTAGTCATACCAGCTCCCCCGCCCCAAACAAAATGTTTATCAAATTGCATGCAACGATCGCAGCTGCAATGTAACATGAGTGGGCTATGCTATCTAGAAATTAAACAAAGTCTGCAAGATATAGTTAGAACTGGAATTTTGGGAGGATACGTGCCCGGCTGAGATACCACTGGGGCCACGCCTAAGATATCACCTCCGTGCTGCGTCTGTTTCCTCACGGCTCTTTGGATTATCATACTGGGAGGGTGGTCTGGGGAGGTTTGCAATGCTGCTTGTGAGCAACGATAAAGAGATCTACTTGGCTGAGCTGCAAAGGAGAGAACGTTCAACAAAACCTCTGTAGTCCTCCTCCAAACGAAGTCAAACTTTGGGCCTAAACCATGCACTCAGGGTGGGGATGTTCAGAGCTTCAATTGTTCGACATTGTCGCTCTGTTGTGCATTCTACGTGACAAAGACGTTGTGCATGTCAGTGTTCATTCCACATGCAGGCCTGCACGAGTTCCTGCAACCACCGCCCCGTGGTCTGAAGTGCTCTGCCACAAACAGTTTTGACAACTCGCCAGACAGGCGCTTGAAAACACGACATTTTCGATCAACGGCCGTGTGCGCATAACTCGTACACAGATTGTGTTGGCCCGAAACTTCGAAACTTGAAAAAATGAAAAATGGAACGGTCTGAAGTGCGCCGCATTGCACCACCATGCTGAGCTGCCCCTTGAAAATTGTTGGGGCCGTTGCTTTGTGACAATTCAACAGATGAAAAGGAGTTGAGAGAAAATTAACGTCCAGAAAGTCTTGGGAATCTGACTGAAGCTGAAAGCTTCCACGCCAAAGTTCAGGTTTTAAGTGCTAAGGGGCCTGAGGTTTGAAGTTTCAGACCTTAAAGGCTGAAGGGTCATTTGTTTTTTGGGATTTTAGCCCAGATAGCCCAGCAGCTTGTGGACTATTTTCCCCACCTCTGCAAGATTACTTAGGGCTTTGGGTTTTCAAATGAGTTCAGATCTATCTGAGGGGGCACTCCAGGTTCGAGCTTTCTTCTGTTTGTCAGGACCACAGGCCCGGAACAACAATAGGGGTCGCAGAAACTGTTGGGAGACAACGCATAATCGTCGACCTCCAGCAACACTATGCCGATACGAATCTCGTGGTTCTCAAACGGAACGCATAAACGCTTGTTGTCTGTACAGTATTGGTACAAAATGAAGCAAGTTGCACGAGGACTGGAAGCATGTGCGGGAAAGATTCATGCACATTTTTGCGCTCCGCTGACCCCGACCGCAGGCAGACTCATGAGCTTGTAAAGAAGACGGATGAGATTGCATTGCATGTGGCATCCTTCGCAAGGTTCGTGCGTCAGTGCATCGGGCCTTCATTCACATGGTACATGGTAGTACATCCTTTGTTTCACTCATTCGCCATGCTTTCCAGGCAGCTCACAGTTGTCAGTGAGCGTGCCGGATGAAGAAGGACATTGAATGGGCGCACTTCATTTGCAGAAGTCCGTGTCCAGTCTTAGCAGCTGTGTGGTTTCAGCCCCTTGAGGGGCATAGTATTCTGAGCGCGTCAACCATATCCGCTGTACTGTCGCCGAATGATTCTATTCTGTTCTGCGGGCGGTCCTCCTGAAGGAGACCGCAGACCGGACGGAGCCTGCTAGTTGTCCCACTCCTTTCACAGTTTGCAGTTCGATGTTGTTGTGTTGTTTTGTGTTGTTTTGCCATGCTATGTAAAAATCCCATCCGGCATGCACCAGTTCAGTGTAAATCACATTGCTGGTTGCTCATGCGCCGCAGGCAGGACCCACATGTTTGTCAGGAGCAGTTAAGGTTCTTGGAGGGCAGTGCGCAGACAGCAGCTCTGCTCGGGTCGTGTGGTCCTTCTGCGCTGGAAGCGAATGTTGCTGCCATGCTGCCCAACCGTCAAAGCACTTCGAGTACGCTATCTTGATACCGTGTGTCTTGTTTCATTGTGCTTGTGCAAGCAGAGCCTCACCACACAGGACTTTGTATGAACTCGTCGCAAAGTGCGAGCTTCATCTTTGCACTGCTTCTAATCCGCTTATTTGCACAACATGACTGACCCGCTTGAAGCTTGTAGTACTCTTGCAGTCTAGTCAGTGGGGAGCGAAAAAGGCATCACATGCCATGCAAGTGCGCCTTGCGAGCTAGTGGCGATGCCCCGTTGCATGTTAATCAACAGCCCCGGGGGACCATTCCCAGGGCGAAGAGGATGCTTAACGGGAATAAGCTTGCATAAACTTACAATTCTGAAAACGGCTCACGTGTACAGTGGGAACATATTTCATGCTCACGGAAACAAGGGCAACATGCAAGAAACATACATGCAGCTTTTCTTTTTCACGAGTTATGCCCTCTTCGTTTGCCAGGCTTATGCATCTCGCCTGGAGCAGTTCATCCAGAAGATCTCAGGAGGAGGAGGTCGGTATGCTGCCTCCCGAGGAAGACGGACTTGCGAGAGCAATACCCTACAAGCTTTGCATAGCCACATAGCTTTAAGCAATTGTCGAGAGAGAGAGAGAGAGAGAGAGAGAGAGAGTTACCAGAGACAGACCTTCTGACATCGCGCGCCCCTGGGGGCGGCCTTCCTCTTCAGAGGGGGGCCATGTGTGCAGGAGAGAGAGAGAGAGAGACACACATTTTGGCTCAACTCCGGGGGAGGAACGCGCCCCCAAACCCGGGCTTGAGTCGCCGCGCCGCTGGCTCGGACCCTTCAACTCTCGCCGGCCCTTACAATTCTAGTTGGGGGCTTTGTTCAGGGGGGCATACGTGGCAGCTGACCTTTGGGGGGTTCTTTTCGTGTTGACCCTAATTGCCGAGCGTGAGAGCGGGGGCAGGCGCACAGCAACACTTCCGACGTTAACTAACACCTTTGCCTAGGCTCTTTCAGTCTTTCCACGACCTTCACCCACATGATCTTTCGAACTTGCGCTCCATAACCTCCATAGGGAGAATGAAAGGAGAGAGAGAGAGAGAGAGAGAGAGAGAGAGAAAGCAAGCCAAGCAAGCATGGTGCAAGAAGCCATCAGCCACGTGGATGAATGGCTCAGCATGGTGTTCGGGGCAACCACGATCATGGTGGAGGACAGTCAAGAGCCTACGGGGATGGCGACAACCCCGGTGGGCGACCATTGCACTGCAGACGGGGCAAATCCAGCGCAAGGGCAACCAGAGGGATGGCGGCGAGTGTACAACCAGAAAGCGCGGGGGAGTCGCTCACGCAAGAGACGCAGCCGTGGCCACCACACACGCCGAGCACCACGGGTACTGAGGGCGGGCAGTGAGGAGCAATTCGGACCGGAAAACCCGAAAGGGAAACTGGACGGGGAAGGCTTCGGGAGGTTCCGTGAGGTTGTCGTCTGGGGGCTTGGGGAGAAAACTTGAAGGGAAAACTAAGACTCTGGGGGATGGGGAAGGCTTCGGAAGGTTCCGTGAGGTTGTCGTTTGGGGGACTGGGGAGGTTGAAGGGCTCAAAAGCACAAGCCAGCATCCTTTACGGGCAAAGAGTGGGGAAAACACTGCCAAGTAATGTTGCTTTAGTCTAGCACCCAGTCGGTGGAACCTGTTGTGGTCTCGGGTGCAGTGGAATCCCACCGATGCCTAATCACACGCCAAGATAGGCCCATCAGCTTGGGGGAACTAGTTTGGCCCAAATGCTCAGTTTAAGGGGGATGTTGAAACCCGATGTTGATCAGCAGCCTTATCAGGCGTCAGGTGTCACCGATGGGACCGTGGGGGCCACCTCCGGGCTAATGAGCCGAAGGTGGGGCCTGGCTGCCCGACCTTCGAAGTGTCAGAGGGAAGGCATGAGGGCAAGGCGAGGGAAAGGTTCACCAAGCAAGTAGGGCACAACAAAACCCGAGCTGGCAAACAGTAATGAAGTGGATTAGCGGAGGGGTGTTTGTTTTCGTGGATGACCGGCAAGATCGGGAAGGTCTCACTGCGACCGACACACTCTGCTGGTAGTGGGGGGAGTCGCCATTTCAGCGCAAAGACTGAGCCGAGTGGACTGGGCGCGCCCGCGCGCGCGGGGGGTCCCAGAGAGCGCACCGAGGTGGATACATGAACAGAAGCCGGCACAGAGATGCATCTCACCCAACCTATGTACATGCACACATCTCTGATGCTGGCACCCACCAAGGGCAAGCTTAGTAAGGGCGGACACACCGGGACACCGATGCCAACCTGTAACTAACATATTCAGCCTTCGCAGCACCTGGTTTTCCGACCACATCCAAACCCCCACTTTCACACCGACAGACCCGGCACGGCGCGTGCCCCTCGGGGCGACCCCCACCAGAAGTTTACGCTGTCAAGCAAGCAAGCAAGAGAGAGAGAGAGAGAGAGAGAGAGAGAGAGAGAGAGAGAGAGAGAGGTAGCCATTTTGGCTCAAGTCACTTTGGGGGAACCCGCCCCCTCCACTGTGGCTTGAGCCTGCGTGCCGCCTGGCTCAAAACTGCAAACCGCTTCGCTCCCCTACGAACCCTAATCAGGTTGGCGTTCAGGGACCAGCACTGGCTTTTCATGTGTTCCGATTTGCTTAGGGGGGCTGTGGACTTTGACCCTAAACGAGTGGAAGCGGGGAACAGTGAGGCGCCTGTAGCAAAAAGCACTAACTAAACAGTCAGGACATGAACTGTATTCTCTCCAGGACTCCATTGCATGCCCCAGTCCCGCCTCATCGCTTTGCCCTAACACCGTTCCCCACCCCTAAACAAAGCCTAAGCACACTGCCATGGAAAGCCGACCGGATGCGACGACCACTACAACCGCTGTCCATGTGGGGGGGGCCACCAGCACAACCGCCATCGAGATGGGAGAAGAGACGCCCGGCATGAACCCCATCGACAAGGCACTCCTACACATGAAACGAGCCATCGTTTGGGTGGCCGTACAGTTCACACCATCCGAAGTGGGGGAGCTCACACGACGCCTCAACGCCCCCGACACCACCAAAGACGAGATCTCCCAATGGTTCCAGGCCTCGCTCAACGTGTTGAGGGACGATGGGGAGGAACACCGACACCAAGACCACCCAGATTGGGGACGATCAAGTGAAGAAGAGGACCAGCAAATCGTCAACGAGAGGGAGTGCAAACAAAAGGAGACCAACGACAACACCACCATTGACGAGGAGCACACCGACGAGCGAGACAACCAAGACCACGGCCATGGCATGGGAGAAAGGGGAGGAAAGAAGACCAGTGGAGAAGCACGGGGGACAACTACAACCCCAGCACCGACAACAGCAAGAAAGGCTTGGGAGAAAAGAGGAGAAACAGATGAGGAATACGAGGAGGTACCTCTGGAAGACACGGGGGGCGAACCATGTGAAAAACCATCGGTCGCCGGCCCGCAAAGCCGCACTCCACGACCAGCACTACCTCAACAACCACGAATTGGAGCATGGTGGAGATTGCAAACACAACCAATGCGAAGCTCGTCTCCGACCACTGGCCCGCTCACTACAACATCCCCGACTACTTCACCGACATCTACTAAGCTACTACCACCCCAACCATCATAGGAAGGGGGACACAACCAGGGTGCAGCCAACCTTCGATGATACAGCACGTGCGCACATACCCAGCAGGAGCGCTGCCACCGCCAAAGAGAATCAAGAAGGAGGAATGGGAGGAGGATTCGGAGGAAAGGTGGGAGGCTACAAAGTCTACAAAGCCAACGAGGACCCCAAAGCCCAAGACGCTGTACGGAGAAGAACGAGGACCACTACATGACGAACGACCGCCGCTGCCAAGAAAGAAGGAAGGGAAGCCCGCAACAAGCTCCACGACACCAACCCGACCGACACCACGAAGCTGGGGCAGTGAAAACCTCGAGTCACAGATCAGAAGACTGGCCAAACACCCACAGCAGTGACCACAACAACGACCTCATCCACATCACCCACATCTTCCACAACCTCTACACCACACTACCTGCTCGGACATCGCCCACGTCTTCCACATCCTTCACACCGCACTACTTGCTCAGATGAGGGAGCCAGAGTGAGCGCACCAGGGCTTTTAACCCATAAACAGGTTACAACCCCTTTGAAGTCAACTTGAGAACTAAGCCCCTTGTTTTCCTTTCAGGCCTAGGGAGCATTGTTTTGAGCAGGCTTGTCTGTTGGTTGGGATCTGTAATGTTGTCACCTTTGAAGGGGAAGTGTAGTAACCGACCGTTCTTTGTCATAACAACAATTCCAAGGAGCGAAGCCTCCGTGCACCATAACAGTAAGCTCATCGAGAAATCTCACAAAGCCCTCCTTTCCCCTCGCGGGTCCCTGGGTGTTGTTCGTTGACTTGGGGGTTTTTCGATTGTTGGGGAAAGGGGGGAGTATACCAGCCTCGTAGTTCACTTTGCCCGATCCACCAACCTGTGGAGAGGGAATCTTTCCAATGCTCCCAAACCACCAAACCTGTGGGGAGGGAACAGTTCGCGGGGGGGGGTCACAATTCGAGGGTGGGACCATCATTCAATCCTTACATAGCAGTGCACGTTTTTGCCCGAACCCAATCCCAGAGTGTCCCACTACATGGTTGCCGAGTTCGTTCCATGCCCGTAAATTGTTGTGGATCTACCATGCTTGGTTGGTGGTCACTGTGAGGACACACATATTTTCTACCAACCCCACCTCACACACAGCGGGGGTGGGGAATAAGTCTCACACACAGATCTGTCGACCGTGCCCCTCGGGGCGGCTCTCCTTCGGGGGAGTCTTACGGCTTGGAAGGAAGGAAGAGAGAGAGAGAGAGAGAGAGAGAGAGAGAGAGAGAGAGAGAGAGAGAGAGAGAGAGAGAGAGAAAGCGAGACGCCAAAACATAGTTTGTCAGAGTATAGCGTGGGTTTCCTTTGCGGATGGGGATGTCAGCGGGGGTGTTTCACGCGGCAGGCCAAATCATGGGGGCGAGCGAATGTAGCAGCGCTGGGCCCAACCGTGTAAGCGCCGGTCGTAGTGGTCTCACTGGACCTGACTCACCCTCGGGCGCGCCTCGTGCGCGGGGGGGCACCCCTAAGCCCAGCAGAAGAAGAAGAAGAAGAAGAAGAAGAAGAAGAAGAAGAAGAAGAAGAAGAAGAAGAAGAAGAAGAAGAAGAAGAAGAAGAAGGCGAGCAAGAACAAACACTGCACGTGCAAATGCATGGTACCATGAATCATTTAGCATCGCCATGCCATGTGCAACATGTACAGATTCAGACCTTTTCCTCAAGTTGAGAGAGCCGTGCAATGCCGTGCACCAAGGTTTTGCCAACAGCTTTAAAGCGTGAAGCGCAACGGCATCTGAAGATGGCATCTGCCCTCAGTCGTTGCCTGCTTGTCATTGGCGGCATGCTTTAAAGCGCGGTCGAGATGGGTCGAGGTTTTCCCTAGACACGGTAGACTCCTCCGGGAAGGCTGAACTGCAAAAGTTGGCAGGCGGCAGGCTGTTCAACGGCATTCATAACCTTTAGTGGTCGTCCTGTCGTGATCCGTCATTGAAGTAAGAATATATTTCAGTAAGTGCATGAAGCGGTGGAAGTTCATGTGTCACAACTAGGGTATCTTGATGCTGCAGTTGAGACTGCCTGCCACCTGCCAATCCCTGCAACTCAGCTTTCCCACAGAGTGAGCACAGATACTTGCTGTTTCAGTGTCGGTGAGCCGCTTCGCTTGCTTAATGCATTTGTCGGTGGTGCTAAAGCATGCATGTGATAGCTCTATGTGTTAGTGAGCTATGTCTGAGGCATCGGTCTTGCGAGCAAGCGCCGCCCGCGACATGCTGGACAGGCATTGTTGCTTTAACTGGACATAAGAGCAAGGGACAAGGATTTCTTCAAGCTCGTGCCTGTTCGTAAAAAAAAATCTCAAAAGAATGGGGTCTGACAAACTAATTGCACAAATCTACTCAAGCAAGTGAAGCAGAAGATTTACACAGTACAAACGACTGATATTTACCGTCATCTTGGACATCGCGAGAGAACGTGCTGGTCCAAGCTGATTGCTAGCACAAGCAGCTCAACAACAGTGGCAAGCGTCGGAGATCAAGCAGAGTCTTGACTAAGCATGTCGATTCGACTGCTTTGCCGCTGCTACGTTCTTGAGCATTGGAAGTCGGTGCCAAAGCTTCCGTGTTCCTTGCGTTTCTTTGCTTGTTGTTTGTTACGTTGCGCTTAAACTGACATTCACTTGCATTGTTTCACAACTCTGACCATGAAGAGGTCACATGTTCCGGCACTTGTGTTTTGCTTGATCACTGCGTGCCGGCACAAACCGCAGATTTTTGTCGTAAGCTAGAATTTGATTTCGGCTCGATACCGCGCATGCGTTCACAGAGAAAGGCGCAGCACAGTTCGTGCCGTAGCTTTGGCTAAACGGGCTTCTTGCTGTACACTCGGCTTGTGCACCGCTCGATGGAGTCGACACTCGAACGCGCGTGGCAGCAGAAAAGATCTGAAGATTTCGGCATGAGGGCGTACAGACAAGCAGAACATCCCCCGGCTGTCATGTCTTTCAAGACTGGCCTAGCAAGTTCCAGGACAATGCAATGTGCCAAGGTGTAGATCCTCGTTGGCCGCTTTGCACCAACACTTGCAGCAGTTGGACCACTGACTACCCACCCGGCTGCTGCTAAAACATGTGCCGCAACACCCTTACACCGGGAGTGTAGCCGGAAAGAGATGTGGGCGTGGCTGGAAACGAAGTCGATAACCGAGAAGCTGTTGGCATGGCGTATCATGGCGTCTTCGGGGGGTCATTCGGGCAAGTCCCGTGTTAGAGTCGCGCAGGTTCTTGGTTCACCCTCTCCCTCGAGCTGCCAAGTGCAATACCATCCATGACCATTTTACCACGATTGTACCATCGCCTTTAACACACGCTCTCTTCTTCTTCTTCTTCTTCTTCTTCTTCTTCTTCTTCTTCTTGTTCTTCTTGATGTTTTGTGACGTTTGCGCTGTTTTGTGTAGACCAACTGACTGGAGGCAGCGGTGATCCGGGCCAATGACGTTGCTGGGTTCTTACAGTTCTTATTGTTCTCGTGCATTGCATTGAGCAAGAAGTGGACGCTGTCGGGTGCTGATTCATGATGTTCAATTTACAGTACTGTAAGGTGGATGTCATGTGCTAGCAGGTCGCATGAGCCAGTGGCTGTCTGCTGCGTTGGGCGAGCAGCCATGCGCTCCCCAATGCCTGATGGCGATGCTTGCCTGCTGGAATCCATCAAGCGTTGGCATGTGCAGCTGCGGTTACGCAGCATGTTTTTCTGTCGATGCCCTGGGCACCTGTGCAATCCAGCTAAAAGAGCAGGATTGGTGTCATCCGAGCAACTCACGCCACCCCTTGCCAGGCCAAGCCATTTTTAGACGTTCGCCGCACTGCAGGCAGCATCAAAGTCATATAAGCTGTATCCTTTGTTGTTTCCGAACTTAATGCAATGCGGGTGGGCTGCAGAATTGATGAGGTAGATCACTCACGCATCAACAGATGATGGATTGAGATGCACATGTCACCTTCCGAAGGCTTAGCATTGATGTGTGAGCATGACTCCAACATGGCGTTGGGACACGCAAGTCGTCTTAGATGGCATGACCGTGTTTCGCGTCGCATCGAAATTGCTTCGAATCCCTGCAATTCAAGGGCTTGTTGATGGATGCAGCTGGGCAGACTTCTAAGGGAGTCGACGCGCTTGATTTGGAGCAGGGCCTAGTTTTGTGCATGTAGCCACTCAAAGGCAGTGCCAGCATCAGATCTATTCTTGTTGAAGCTCGCGACAAGTGCGGTGGCCGAAATGAAACAGCCTGCCGACGGTCACTTAGCAAGTTCGGATTGTGAAGACAAGGATGTTTAAGGACGAAGTGAGTGCTGCGGGACGATTCTCAAGAACCCCTTGCTTGGCAGCCCCGGAAGCTTCTCGCAAATCCATGGAGTGCGGGGACGCGAAGACACCGCTTCCGATTTCAGCCAATGGGTCTGCGACTCAAAGATGTGAAAACTGTTGCGGCTTGATGGGTGTGCTGTTGTGTTTACAATCTGTCCCATAGTGCCAAGCAACACCGTTCTCCAGTTTTTGGCGTCACGGCAAGCAAGCTGAAAGGGGGAAATGTGTTCGCTAAAGCTCGCCCCGTTTGCTGAGGCCGGACTTTCCGATCGATCTTTCGCGGTACCAAGAGGTTGGGTTGCCCAAGAAGAAACCCCATCATTTAGGGGCGTTTCATGTTTCAAGGTTCTGCCTGACCTTCGGAAAACGGCCTCAACCATTGCAGTGTAGTACACGAAGCTTTCTTAATGCTCTGAATGACATGTCTCTCCTTTGCACTGCAGTTGCCGCTCGCAGCTGAAGGGAACTTTTTTTGTTTTTGCGACGTCTGCAGCACGCCGGTGTCGATCTTGGAGGCGGACGCTTAAGCTCCCAGGCAGGAGCTCCGGCGCACAAGAGACCTTTATGCGGGTCGAAGAGAGGCTCACAGCACAAGGATCAACAGGAGCAGCCAGTACTTCAGCTTCTAGGGTCGCAGACAGGGGCATACATAGGGCCGGTGGGGCCAGGGCAGACAATCCCGGCCTCCGCCATCGAGCAGGGTGTGATGTTAGAAGCGCTCATGTCACAGACGTCAAAGAGCCGTAAGGTGTTGCCATGAGACGGGCGTCCTAAAACAAACCACCACAAACGCTGTGTTTTGGTCCCTCTAGAGTCAGGAGTGAAAAGAGGCCAACCATGCCGAGTTTTCTTAGCTGCATTGCAACGAAATGTAGCAAGGGGCACCTGCGGCCAAATACGCATTCGGATCCTCGTAGTTGCCGTTTTGCAAGCAATTTTGCCTGCCCCGCCCGCCTGCGTATGACATAGTACACGTCTGGGCACCCAATGGTGACCTTTGTCCATTTTTCCTGCCAAGATGTCAGTGCCCTGATCGATGCCGGTGGTGGTCGGTACTTCGGTCTTTGTTTTGAATCGATCTTGACGGTCAGATTAAATAATTCCCCGAACAAAAACCGTTTGGGGTCCTCTCCTGAGAAAAGCAAGTGTCACGCGCTTGGCTAGATTGGTGTCAGTTTGGGTGCGTGGTCTCCCACGGTCTCCGATCATGAGTGCAATTGGGCCGGGTGGGTGTCATGCGGTTTGGGTCCGTGGTCTCCCACGGTCCGGATGAAACCCAAAAACTTGTGCTGGTAACGTAATCGTGGCTCTATAAAGGTTGTGAAAAGGATCCAGAAATCCTAAACCCTATGCCCCTAAAGGAGGTTTAACAGATGTTTATATCTGTGTGGGAAGAGCTCCTGTGCTGTTTCCACAAACCTTTATGATCGTTTTAGAGTTGCGACTCTGCTTGCTCTGCGAAAGGTTCTATACAAGCGCAGAAAACATCCTATGTTTTTTCCTAACGTTCGCAGTGTCAGAACACTGTAGAAGTAAAAGCATATCCCTTAGAGGTTTGTCGTATGCCCCTTCTCTTCGTGCTCGTAGGGTTCGGTGAGAGAGTTACTCGCATGTCCCCTCCCGTCGTTCTCGTAGGGTGAGGGCCCCTAGAGGTTAGGCATGAAAGCCCAAGAATCATAACGTGCGGGTATTTGCTCATCTTAATGCCTCAGGGCGATATCCCCGGTTTGGGCATCCCGAACCTGAACCTCGGGGTGATTATTCTTTTTCCGAGACCGACCATGAAACCCCGCAGTGCTGTGGCTAGCCGGGTGCCAAAAAAATAACGTGCTTGAAGGGCCCATGCTTTGGAGCCTCGCGTGGTAAACTTCTCCTGGCAAGTTGGTCATTGTATGGGGCAGAGGGGGGAGCTCTGGCGCGAGCTATTTGGTCATCAATTGGCAGACGGGGCTAGTTGCTTACGGTGAAACCCAAACCCCTTTGCAGGTAACGTAATCGTGGCTCTATAAGGGTTATGAATATGCCCATGAAATCCTGAACCTATGCCCCCACAAGAGGCCCCTCTCTTCGTGCTCGTAGGGTGGCGTGAGGGCCTCAGAAGTTTGTCGCATGTGCCCTCCCTTCGTGCTCGTAGGGTGGGGGCCCCTGGAGGTTAGGCCTGAAAGTTATAGAATCATAACGTGCTTGAAGGGCCCATGCCTCGGAGCCTCGCAAGTTGGCCATTGTATGGGGGAGAGGGGAGCTCTGGCCCGAGCTATTTGGTCATCAGGACGCAGGTGGGGCTAGTTGCTTGCGGTGAAACCCAAAACCCTGTGCTGGCAACGTAATCGTGGCTCTGTAAGGGTTGTGAATATGCACCTGAAATCCTAAACCCTATGCCCCTACAAGAGGGCGGTTGGTTTAAGCAATTTTTTTCTTTGTGGGCTCTGCATGCTCAGCAAAAAAACATCCTGTCTTTCCTAACGTTTGCGCTTTCAGAACACTTCCCTTGGAGGTTTGTCCTGTGTCCCCTTTCTTCGCGTGCTCGTAGGGTTTGGTGAGAGAGTTACTCGCATGTCCCCTCCCGTCGTTCTTGTAGGGTGAGGGCCCCTAGAGGTTAGGCATGAAAGTTCTGCAATCAGAACGTGCTTGAAGGGCCCATGCCTCGGAGCCTCGCGTGGCAAAGTTCTCCTGGCAAGTTGGTCATTGTATGAAGCAGAGGGGGGAGCTCGGGCGCGAGCTATTTCATCAGGGCGCAGATGTGGCTAGTTGCTTGCGGTGAGAAACCAAAAACCCTGTGCTTGTAACGTGATCGTGGCTCTACAAGGGTTGTGAATATGCCGCTGAATTCCTAAACCCTATGCCCCTAAAAGAGGGCGGTTTCAGCAAATGTTGATCTTTTTGTGAGAAGAGCTCCTGTGGTGTTTCCAAAAGCCTTCATATCCGTTTTGGTGTTGCAACTCTGCATGCTCTGCTAAAAGATTCTATACGAGCGCAACAGACATCCTATGTTTTTCCTAACGTTCGCAGTGTCAGAACACTGTAGAAGTAAAAGCATATCCCTTAGAGGTTTGTCGTATGTCCCCTCTCTTCGTGCTCGTAGGGTTTGCTGAGGGCCTCAGAAGTTTGTCGCATGTGCCGTCCCTTCGTGCTCGTGGGCCCCTCCCTGCGTGCTCGTAGGGTGAGGGCCCCTAGAGGTTAGGCCTGAAAGTTCTAGAATCATAATGTGCTTGAAGGGCGCAGCATGCGAGGTTTGAAGGTTTCAGAGAGGCCCCTTGGGGGTTGGTCCTTGTGTGCGTGCGAAAAGACGGATCGTGTTCAACCAGCATCCTGCTTGCAGGACCGAGCGTACTCAAATAGCACCCAAGCTTTGGGGACCGAGCGTGTTCAACTAGCATCCTGTTGTTTTGGCAACCGAGACAACTAGCATCCTTCTTTTTGGGACCGAGCGTATTCAAATAGCACAAAAAGTTTTGGGGGCCGCACTTTCAGAACACTGTAGAAGTAAAGCATATCCCTTAGAGGCTTGTCGTGTGTCTCCTCCCTTTGTGCTTGTAGGGTTTGGTGAGGGCCCTAGAAGTTTGCGGCATGTCCCTCCCTTCGTGCTCGTAGGGTGACATCGTAACCCCATTCTTCGCCGGTTGCATTCGCACAGCGTCCGGTCGTCCATGTCACTTGGGTTGTCTGTGTTTCGTTGCAGCGTGCAAACAGATCAAAACCAAAATCCGAAAGTAGAAATAGAGTGGTGTTTTGCGACCAACCACGATCCTACGTGCATCCCGGGACATGCCAAATGTATTTTTCGTCGCTAGCAAAATGCATTTAGCAATGGTTGCCCGTCGTGTTGAAGTCTGTATTTGTCCTCGTTCATGAATTCTTCGATTCATGTTTATTCTCGACCCTCAGTGTGGGATTGTTGAACATGTTGGGGCGCTCAAAAGCTGTTGTCCCAAGTCTGCATCTCAAGTTTCACATGCTGAGGCTCTGAAAAACCTTTGGCCCGAATCTTGGTCAGAAGCATGACATGTTGGGATACGTTGGGCCTTTAATTTTGGTGTGTCCTGCATCCGGGGCCTGCATCCGGGGCCTCTGTCTTTTCCGCGCCGGGGCAGGTCTATTGTGGTATGAAATCACGTAGCTAACTTTAGCGGCCTTGCGCAATGCACACCGGAATGCAACACGACGGGAAACCGTTGCCAAATGCATCCCGCGGGCAACGACAAATGCATTTGGCATGCCCTGGGGTGAATGTGGGATCGCTGTTGGCCGCAGAACACCGCTCTATTTCTATTATTGGATTTGAATTTGATCTGTTTGCACACTGTAACGAAACACAGACAGCCCAGTAGACATGGACGAGCGGAAGCTGCGCGAAAACATTTTTTTTGGCTTGAAAAATGCATTTGGTGTTGGTTTGGTCTTGCTTTCCACACTTGCACTGTATTCTCTCCTTCTGCATTTTCCGAAAGGGAAAAGAGCTGAATGCATTTAGGCACGGGCGAAGAATCATTTGCTTTTGCGAAGCTTGAAAAATGAATTTGGTCTTGATCTGGCCTTGCCTGCCACATTCATGATATTCTTTCCTTGTGCATTTTGTCACAAAGGGAAAAAGAGAGCCGAATGCATTTATGCACGGGCGAAGAATGCATTTCGTATTTTGGATTCCCGTGGCCGGGGCCTCTGCTTTTTCCGCACGGGTTCAGGTCTATTGTGGTTTACAAAGAAGCAGCTCTGCGAATGCATTCAGCCGGCCTTGAAAATTGCATTGGGGCATGTTCCTTTTGTTTTGGGGCCGCTTTCGGAACTCTTGCAAATGCTAGACGTGCGAGGGCCCTTATAGCCAGCTCTTCCTTCTTATGCAGAGAAACAAAGAGACTCGACGAGTTCATGAACGAGGACAAACGGGAAACCGTTGCCAAATGCATGTTTCGGACGACGAAGAATGCATGTGGCATGCACGAGATGCGTGTGAGATCGTGGTTGGTCGCAAAACACCAATCTACTTCTATTGTTGGTTTTGATCTGTTTGCACACTGTAACGAAACAGACAGCCCAGTAGACATGGACGAACGGACGCTGCGCGAAAACATTTTTGCAGGCTTGAAAAATGCATATGGTGTTACTTGGTCTTGCTTTACCACTTTTGCATTTTTCAATAAAGGAAACAAGCTGAATATATTTACGCACGGGCGAAGAATGCATTTGCATTTTGGTTTCCTGTGTCCGGGCCACTCTTTTAGTCCCAAAGAAGCAGCTACTCGAATGCATTTAGCCGGCCTTGAAAAATTCATTTAGGCATGTTCCTTTTGATTTGGGCCCTTTTCGGAATTCTTGCAAAACATCGGGAATGCTGCGGGTTAGGGCCCTTATAGCTCTTCCTTCTTATGCGGAGAGAGAAAGAGAATCGACGAGTTCATGAGCGAAGACAAATGGGAAACCGTTGCCAAACGCATTTTCGAGCGACGAAGAATGCATTTGGCATGCCCCGAGTTGCATGTGGGATCGTGGTTGGTCGCAAAACGCAAATCTATTTGTATTTGTAGATTTTATTTTGATCTGCTTACACGCTGTTACGAAAACACAGACAGCGCATTTGACAAGTGCGACCGAAGGCTGCGCGAATGCATTCTGCCAGGCCCCAATAATGCATGCGGTCTTGCTTGCCTGTCTTTTTCTGCGCGGGGTCAGGTGTATCGTGGTTTTGGAAAACAGCAGCGCTAACGCATTTAGCCAGTCACCAAGACTGCATTTGGGCATGTGCCTGTATATTTGGGCAAAGAAAGGCATGAATCATGTTTATGTCTGAGGGTTCTAACTCATGGTGCTGCACGACGACCGAAACAGGGGCCAGCACTGAAGTTTAGGGTAGCCCTAGACGCCTGTCGAAATTTATGTCGTGTTGCTGTTTCACGCGTTTTTTCTTTCTCTACAATCTTACTGTTTGGGGTCTTCGCCGGCATAATCATGCATATTATACGATATAAGACATTAGAAGACGAAAAAAGATTTGAGTGGATACATGACCAGAAAGGTATTCAATTAGAGGATGGACAAACTACGGAAAGCCCTGCCCGTGGCATTTCGTGAAAATGAGTGTTGCATGCTCTGAGGTTAAACATACGAACTTGTGTCAGAAACGGTCATTCGCTGGGCTTCCAGCTGTTTCAAGCTCCTTGCGAGCAGGTGACTATTGACCCGTGGACTGTCGCTTCATTGACCGGGCAACAACGAGATGCCCTCAGATCCAACATCAATCTTTGCCGAGGCCAAAAGGAGGTACTGTACGTGAGTTGGCATGATGCCATCATTCCAAGTTTCGCACCAGCCTTGGTGTTTGACTAACGTGCGCAGGTTAACACTTACTTACTTCTTTTTCGGTATGTTGGTATGCAGCTTGTTCATCACACCAAAGCAGTCCGCCAATAGATTGTGCAGATGCTGTGGTCTTCTTCACGGCCCTTGGCGGCGCATCTGGATACGGAGGACACACTGGCGGAGCCTACGACATGATGCCCGAGGCAACATCGTGGTTTAAAGATGTTTAAAAGCCCGGGGCGTTCGCCTCCATGTGCAATGATAAGCATGTTCAAGTGGATTGCTCATCACTGGATGCGATTACTGATTGCAAGAAGGCTTGCAAGTTGCAGGAATATCACAGGCACCATTAGCCACGTTTCCATCAACAGTATGCAAGCGTCAGATAGAACAGAGTAACTTTTTCGTCACCCAGCAAGTTGGCAATGCTTTGCGGGAGGACCATAGACATGCGTGGAGTCTGGCTAAAGAACATGTGCTAGAGACCTGGTCCTTGACACGTAAAGCGCACACCGCAAAGGTTACCATCACATCCAGGACACGACTTGTTAAACTGTGTTTCGCTCATCACGCCTGCAAGTTATATGTTTGTGATTACCTTATTTGCCAAGAACGATGTGTGCTTTGCAACTGGCCCTGAAGCATTTACTGGCATTTACCATCTATGCATTTTGACCATCCTTCTCCTTCTCAAAGGTGTGCATACTGGATGCCTTCTTCCGAGCGTGTCCGGAGAAGTTCGCGGGCGTCTTAGTGGGGCAGCAACCACCCCCCACACTCGCGCACTGCACGTTCGTTCGTTCGGTGTGCCAGTGGCCAGGTGCCCACCTTCTTTGACGAGGCCGGGCACCGCGTCGCCGTGCAGTACCTCTTCGCGGTCCTGCGAAAGCACATGCCCGCGGAGAGGCTCAAAGAGAGAAGGAAGGAAGAGAGAGAGAGAGAGCAAGGAAGCAGCGCTCTTTTCCACTGACATCTGGACTACAGAGCCAGGCTCCTGCACTATCGGGTGGGGCATTCGGCTTTGCCCGGACATCCCGAGCTTGGTCTGACTTCTGGTGTGGAGCTTCTTGGACGCACCCTCAATAGGATAGGGCAGAACTGCCTGGTGCAGGAGTAAAGTATCGGAATCGCGGTGCTCCAGGGGCATTCTGTGAGTCAGTGAGATGAACATCCGTCTCATGTGGCTGAGCCCTCACCGGCAAGCCTGTTTGTGACCGTTGGTGGTTTGAGGACTGGAGACAGCGCAAGTTCTGAAACAAGTGTGGTGCAGTCCGCAACCACCAACATCCCTTTCATTCTGTAGCCCAACACGACTTAGAAGACAAAGAAGCATCTTTAGCAGAACATGGCCCATGGCACACTAGTTGTTAAGAACAGCGAAACAAACAAAGAATCTTAGCAGACTTTGCCATGAAAAAGTACGAGTAGTCCAGTTCCAGGGAATAATTGAGGTAACCCCTTGCACCTCGTGAACAACTTCCCTAACCCGTTTCCACATGCCACTCATGTCACCCAGATTCACTACTGTAGGATGTACTGCCGCTGGAAATCTTGAGGGCCAGCCAAGAGCGCTGAGGTTCAGCTCTGGGCGACTTGGTCACCTCTGGGGCCATGTCAATGGAGTTGCCCGGGCAGAGCCAGGACTGCGGAGCAAGAGCATGTCACCTACCCTGCAAGCCAATTTTGAGTTTTGTTGCTGAGAGGCCGGATAGTTTGCTGCTTCAGTTCCGATGGATCTCAGATGGAGGGCAACACTGCAGAGGCCGCAATTTGAGATGAAAGTTGGGGGTAATCCGCGCTTTCAGTTCGCAGTCAGCTCAGGCAGGTGTCCTTCCCCCTCCACATCGTTCCTTCGCTTAGATTCTTTCTTTGGCGAATGCCATGGTCAGTTTAGCTGCTTTAGCTTGACGACCTTGGCTCCTTTGCCTTCTGTGGCACACATGCTCGGCATGCTTTTTTATAGATGTCACATCCGCAAAGTTCCGGTGCCGGCCTTCTGTGATTCCGTGGACAGCTCCGCTGGAGGCTGGGGAGAGAGTGGCTGGCAGATGCTGGCAGATGCTGGCAGATGCTGGCAGATGCTGGCAGTGGTGAGGGTGACTACAGTGACTACAACGAACTTTGGGGAGGGTGGGCTACCGCTTTTGGAAGAAGGCGTTCCGACCGTAAAAACCTAAACGGAGGGGAAGCCTCGAAAGGGCGAGCCAGCAGCTCGACGTGACTTGGATTGTCCTGGCCTGCATTGCCTCGACCCCGTGCATCCTGGAGAAGCCTGTTGGAGGCTTTGCGGAAGAAGGAGGATGTTGAGCGACGAAAGGAACGAGCAGTTTGTCTACCGGAGCTGTTCTCCAGGAAAGCTCGTCTGGAGACTGGACGGCTTGGATGCCAGGAGGTTTTTTTTTGTTTTTTTTTTTACCGAGCGCAGAAGAAGCGAGGGTTTCCGGGAGGAAGAAGGGTCATTGGGCCTAGCGAAGAAGGAGTCGGTCTCCTTCGTGTAGTTTTCGTGATCGTTTCCTGGTGGAAGATGGAGGAGGAGAAGGCGGCCAGCTGCAGCGGCGTGGTGTGGCGCCACATCCCAAATCGGCGGCCCCGAGCTACAAAACCTTGCCCCGCTCCGCGACTTAACTTTCTTTCTGTGGTACTCGTGCTCGCGTGATGATTTAGCAGCTCCACTTTCCCTCTGAAGGCTTTGCCGCTTCTCGATCATGGCCATTTTGAAGATCGGTCTGTAGGTCTTGATGAGGGCAGATCAGGTGAAAGCCACCAAGAGCATTCCAGCCGATTACACTTCCGCACCACGTTCTCTTTGTTTGGCAAGCGCCAGAACCGTGCCCTTCCACTCGGTTCCTTCAGGAAGCCTGTGAGGGCCATGCTGGGACATGGCGACAGCTTTGGTGTGGACAGGACGATGGCCAGATCGACTACACGGAAGGTGCCCTGGTGAGGTTCAACTATCACACCACTCCGGTGTCAGCCCGTAGCCTCTCGAGTACTTGCCGCGAAGGCCAGAGTGACCGAGGAGACGGGTCTAATGGCCATGAGGTGCGCATCGTCGGCGAGAAACTCAGTGATTTCAGATCAGCACCTGGCAAAGACAGGAACCGGCAGACGTAAGATGACGTAAGGGCTTACGCCTCAAGAGGGGCTCGAGATGCGATTTCGAGGAATCATCCGGCGAATCCAGGGAGGATGAGAGGAGATCCAGACATCAGAAGACCTACCAAGGTGGGCAAAAAGCTGCCGATCCGGCGAGGGCGGGCTCACAGTAAGGTGTCCTGGGTTCCGCTGGCCGATCCAACGCCGCCAAAGTAGTAGTGATTATGACATGAGAGCAAGGATGCATAAGGATGCCATATGCCTTTGTTGTGGTACCTCATCTCAAACGTGGTAGCAATCCGGAGTTTAAGTGCCTTGAAGGATTCCTAGCCTTTGCGATGACAGCGCATCAAGCGTTAGGACATCTTAGGTCCTGGGTGGAAACCCACTGATGTAAGGGTAGTCTAGCTCGATTCCGTGGTCTAGCAGCACTCGCACAGGCACTCGCACTCTCCGCGCGAAATACTTGCTTGGGAAAGAAGACATTTGAAAGCACGCACGGCTGGATGTCGTGTTCCTGAACGCTGCAAGTCTATGCTTTGGTTCGCACGTTTTTTGTTGGAACTGTTTAGAACATTTCTGCGGACTTGCTTGCCAACACGGCAATGCTTAGGCTCTACTTCGCACATACCAGCATAACTGGGGTACCTTAGCTTGATCTAGCTCGTTTTGTTCTTAGTGCTGCTCGCATTATCCGATCGCTTTCTCAAAAAAGCGTGCTGCACACGGGACACAAGGCTAGATGTAGTGTTCAATGCCGGATTTACCAAGATTGACGGATTCATCAGACCCAACAAAAGATCCAGTTTGTTGCAGGCCGCACGATTGGCAGTTGCACAAAAGCTGAATGTGAAATTGTTCGCATCTTGACTGCGGTACGCAGCTTTCCCTTACTGCTTGAAAAACACATGAATGTGATTCTTGCTTGTGTTGCACGAATGGCCGCAAACGCGTGAATGCTGCGATGACTGCTGAGGTGGACGACAATGACACGACAATTTCCGGGCATCCATCTTCGTATCTAAGCGGTTTTGACGTTGGTCGCGTGTCCCAGATCAGCGCAGGAATGATTTTGACCCAACACTTCTAAGATTCTACCACCTGCAGCAGTTCGGTGGCAGTCATGGAAATTTTGCAGACAATCATGAGGGCTCAGGTCGCACGCTCCGGGGCCACGGGCTTTCTTCCGAAGATGTGGATGGCGAGGACATCGATCGAATCTATCAGGCCATGCGCAAAGCAGCTCCAAGGCCAAACTGTGTACAGCTTGAGTTCCATCTGCTCCCGCCCTTTGCAGCGTCCAAGGTTGTGGAGGACGGTCCCTTTGCCGTGGTTCTGAAAAGGAACATGTGCCCAGGCCTTCCAAAGCGGGCGCGGAAACTGACCAGAGCAATCACTTTTGCATGTAGTTGATTATCATTTTTTCTGCGCCGCCTGTGCTCTGAAAATAATCTGCTGAATTGATCAGGCGTATCAGGGCTTGAAGGATCCACCGATGGCCATGACGCGATGCCTGCGATTCACGCAGCAGCCGTCCTCAGCACGTTTGTTTTCGTCATCGCAGCTTGTTGCTTCTTTTGTACCGGCAGTGTTGTACTTGTAGTTCGGCGCATGCTAGCTGGAAGCTGTTTTGGTTTGAGTGCATGCGTGTTTAGTTCAATTCTTGTCGGTGCAACTTTTCTTCTTACGGTCGGAACCCGTGTTCTTTTTTTGTTGTTGCGGCGTTTTTGTTCAGGCGACCCAAAGCCGGCCTCCACAGCAAAAAAAGCGCGCCCGGCCTCCACAGCAAAACAAAAACGCGCCCGGCCTGCGCAGCAAAAAACAAAAACGCGCCCTGGCAAGGGAGGACTACGCAGCCAGGGCAGACCAACAAGTGAGTGAGTGAGCCCGCGCCTCCGGAGCCAAAAAAAAAAACGCGCCCGGCCTCCGCAGCAAAAAACAAAATGCGCCCCGCCTCCCCAGCAAACAAAAAAAGCGTCAGGGCAAACCAACAAGTGACTGAGTGAGCCCGTGGCGAGGGGTAGTACTTGTGAGTAGTAGTAGTAGTAGTAGTAGTAGTAGTAGTAGTAGTAGTAGTAGTAGTAGTAGTAGTAGTAGTAGTAGTAGTAGTAGTAGTAGTAGTAGTAGTAGTAGTAGTAGTGTAGTAGTAGTAGTAGTAGTAGTAGTAGTAGTAGTAGTAGTAGTAGTAGTAGTAGTAGTAGTAGTAGTAGTAGTAGTAGTAGTAGTAGTAGTAGTAGTAGTAGTAGTAGTAGTAGTAGTAGTAGTAGTAGTAGTAGTAGTAGTAGTAGTAGTAGTAGTAGTAGTAGTAGTAGTAGTAGTAGTAGTAGTAGTAGTAGTAGTAGTAGTAGTAGTAGTAGTAGTAGTAGTAGTAGTAGTAGTAGTAGTAGTAGTAGTAGTAGTAGTAGTAGTAGTAGTAGTAGTAGTAGTAGTAGTAGTAGTAGTAGTAGTAGTAGTAGTAGTAGTAGTAGTAGTAGTAGTAGTAGTAGTAGTAGTAGTAGTAGTAGTAGTAGTAGTAGTAGTAGTAGTAGTAGTAGTAGTAGTTAGTAGTAGTAGTAGTAGTAGTAGTAGTAGTAGTAGTAGTAGTAGTAGTAGTAGTAGTAGTAGTAGTAGTAGTAGTAGTAGTAGTAGTAGTAGTAGTAGTAGGTAGTAGTAGTAGTAGTAGTAGTAGTAGTAGTAGTAGTAGTAGTAGTAGTAGTAGTAGTAGTAGTAGTAGTAGTAGTAGTAGTAGTAGCCGCCACGGATCAGACGGCCGGGCACTTGCATCCTGGAAAACCGGGCTTTGGGCGCAACTGCTGTCCTAGAGGTTCAACCAGTCCTCAGGGAAACGTAACAGCTTGTGCCTTACTGTGAGCCATGGTGAGCCGCGTTCTTTGTGCTGTCTGATCTGCCGGGTCCCAATTCCCGGGCCTCCTGAGCTCAGACATTGCAGTCAGCCATTCAGGAGGTAGGCGAGAGGTGTTTCCACTGCTCCGCGAGGTGGAAGGAGTACTCACGAAAAGCTATCTCAGTATCGCTCGGCGTGGGGAAAAACTAGCGGATGGCGGTACCTTCTGAGCACCCCAACAATTTTCGGAGCATTCGTAAAGTTGCATTCAGGAGAGCTTGCACGTTAGTTTCACGCACTCAACAAAGCATTTCTTATAGGCGAGGCATCTTGACACCTGAATATGTTGCACGGAGTGGATTGAATCCCCCTGCCCAACCTGCAGATGGGGGCTCCACACAGCAGACGCCTGCACCTAAGCGCACAATGCCAAGATCCAGAGGGGGAGCAATGGCTAAGCCACTCCGAGTACTCACCTGGAACGCAGGGCACTTAGGACAACAGCAGTGGGCCGAGCTTCGCACGTGGCTTCGCACGGCAGCAGACAAATATGATGTTATAGCCCTGCAGGAGACACACTGGCAGGAAACCACCGAATTTGAGGTGGAGGGCTGGCACTGTGTTAGCTCTGCCAGCAAAGGCCAGGCGAAGGCCACCCGGGCTAAGAAAAAGCCAAATTCGAGCACAGAAGGAACGGGACTGGCACTGCCAGACGCCCAATCCCATGCCCTGCATGATGACAAGCGAGCAGATGGAGTGATGGTCCTGACTGCCCCGCACATTCCAAAAGACACGGTCAGATGGAAAGAGCATCAGAAGGGACGTGTCCTTGAGATAGTCTTTCAGTGGAAGGGAGCTCGAGTACACGTTGTGTCAGTATACCAGCACGTATGGTCGACCTCAAAAACTGCACAGAAAAACAGAGAAGACAGATCCACCACCCTCGCTGCTCTGTCCCGTGCCATCCGAGGAACACCGCAGAGAGACACCCTGATAGTGCTGGGCGACTTCAACTCGACCCTACAGTCGAGCCCAGGAGCGGTTGGCTTGTGCACTCCAGGACCTCCTCCACATCGAAAGACCGAAGACGAATACTTCCAACGGCTGGTTCAGGGACATGGATTAGTTGCGCTGAACACCTGGTCTTCAGGGAAAGGATTTACTTTCCGGACGGCCACAACGCAATCTCAATTGGACTACATCCTAGTCCCGAAGACTATCTCCCGAAGTGATGCTAAGAAGAGCAAGCCAATCGACAATTTCCCGCTCGGGAAATGGAAAAGGGTGGCCATCTCCCCGTGGAAGCACAAATACGCCCAATGAGGCACTGGCAGCTTCCCCCTCCCCCCCCTCCCCCCCCGCCCTATGACAAGCATGCTCTTGAAAATGCAGTGCGTTACAATCATCCTAAGGCACAAGAAATGAAGGAGTGGGTCGCTGACCAGCTTCAGCAGCTGACTCCTCCGGACATGAATGAGGTCAATGACATCCTCATACGTGCTTCAGAGAGGTACTTTCCGCGTGCCCCTAAACCTTCAGCTCCTCCGCTGAACGCCATGCACAGGGCAACTCAAAGAATGTGGTCGCGTCTGTCTGCACTGGACGAAGACTTAAGAAGCCAATCCCTGACACAGGCAGACCACGAGGTGTTGGTCAATGACCTGGCGACTTGGCATAAGCAAGCAGTATCATTGGCAAAGAAGCAACGAGTAGCTGACTTCACAAAGGAGGTGGATCACTCAGCCAATACGGGAGATTCCTACTTGAGCCACAAAACCCTGAAAGCTCTTCGACCCTGGCAACCGCAGCCGAAAACACAGCTGGTGAACCAGGACGGATACTTGATGGCAGCCGAGGAGGAACTCCTGCTAATGACAGATCATGCTAAGGCAGTGTTCCAGAGGCATGACAGGTTAGATGTGCTGGTGAATACACTGCCACAGCTGCAGGCTCCAGCATTGGCCAAGCACATCGGTTCCATACGGCCGCACAAAGCAGTACCCGAAGGTTCAGCTTCGGCAGCAGCGTGGAAACTGTGCTCAGCCTCGACAGGAGACGTGCTCCAGCAATACTGCCAGGCACAGAGCCTCAAAGCTGAGCACTGCTCAGTGGATTCCTCAGTGACACTTTCAGCACCGCTGAAAGATACTGACCTCTGCTTTATTCCCAAGCCGAATAAGCCACCAAACAAGCCCACTAACCTTCGCCCACTAGGCATTATACGACCAGATGGCAAAGGATTGGCAGGAGCATGCAGGGATCTGCTAGCTCCCTACACGTCCAGCTACCTAAAGCCAGTGCCTCAGTTTGCCTATCAGCCTAGGAGAGGGCTGTCGGATGCCCTGTCCAGAGTCTCGCAACACACGCGCGAAGTCAGGCATGCCTGCGCACAAGCCAGACTCAGCAGACACAGCCAGCATGCAGGCCATGCCAAGCCAGAGCTAGTAGGGGGCATTTGCTTTGCACTGGACCTTTCTCAAGCATTCGACATGGTGCGACGACAGGACCTCATGGACACCCTGCAGGAGGCCAACGTCCCAATCGCGGTGCAGAACTTAGTAGCGTCTTTGCACACAGACAGTCGCTATAAAGTCAGATCACAGCAACGGACAAGTGAAGTAGAATCGACTACAGGAATAAAACAAGGATGCAAGCTCGCCCCCACTCTCTTCTCGATGCTCACAGGCAAGCTCTTTAAGGAACTATCTACAGTTGTGGGCAAAGAAAGGATGCAGCAATCTCTCACAGGCTATGCAGATGACATGACGATCCATCACACCATCAATAATTGGGAAGACCTGCTAAAGGCTCACCAAATGATAGCAGAGTTGCTCCGCATTGTTCGAAAGTACGGCTTTAAGGTGAACCCAGAGAAGTGCCACTTGATGGTAAAACTCATAGGTACTGCCTCCTCCAGAGCACACAAACTCTTCAGCCGAGTTCACAAGGATGCACAAGGCAACAAGCATCGGTTATGGAGAATAGGTAGCACGAAAGCCCAGGAGTCATTTCCACAATCTCACTCTTTTAAGTACCTGGGTGCGTACGTCTCTTACGGCAATCAGGAAAAACTGAGCCTCGCACATCGCCTGCAAGAAGGCAACGCCAAACTTCAACAAGTTCGCAGATATGTTCACAACAGGAGACACTCGGGGCTAAAGAGCAGACTCAAGATTTGGCTCTCCACAGTCTGGGCCACTGTCTCAGCAGGCCTTGTAGACATAGGCCTTACGGCAGACACTGCTAAACAGCTGCGAGGATGGTTTGCCAGAAAAATTAGGGCAGTCCTGAACAGACCGGTCCATCTCACAGGAACATCCACAGAGCGCCTATTCGAGGAGTTCTCGCTCAAAGACCCAGTGCAGATCCTGCGAGACAGACAAGCGAACCGAGTCACATCCCTACAAGGACGGATCTGGCAGGCAGGGCAATCCCAGTCTGCACTGCAGAAGGAAGCGACTGAGTCACTGACTCACAAAGACACGTCGTCCCCGGATTCAGACGTGTCATTAACAGCCCAGGCACTCCAGTATGCTGAAATGGTGCTGCATGAATATGATGCACTGCTGACTGCGTCGAAAGCAACGGCAGAAGAACCGACTCACAAATGCCGGTTATGCTTCTTCAGCTCTAACTCAGAGCAAGGCCTAAAGATCCACGAGGTCAAAAAGCACCGAGAGCAGCTGGACAGATATGTGCCCAA